CATAATCAAAGCAAAAAAAACCAGGATCAACATTCCTAATGGATCATCATCAGGAAATCCCAGCTGGAAAATTAAAGATATTTGGATGAATTAGGGTTTTTTTTTAAATTAAATATTTGAAATTACATAGGGGATGAGGTAAAAAAAAAGAAAAAAAAGAGTCATGGACTGAGACATGAAAACTGAAAATTCCACCTCTGCCTTCCAAGTTTTTCCCAGTTTTCCCCTTGGGAGTGTTTTGTCTGGATAAGGAAAGGGGAAATTGGGATGTGGGGGAAAAAAGATAGGGAAGGGATGTGAGGAAGCCTCGGGGAAGGAGAAAAATAAATGATGATTTTAGAAGGGATTTTGGGAAAGGAAAAAAATTTAAAAAGGAATTAAAAAGGAAATTACCTGGAAGCGCCTCTGGAATTTTCTCGGGGAATCCAATCCATCCTCACGGCCGAGGGGGTGCAGCTGCCTGTGCCAGGGAGCGGAAAACAGGGAAGGGAAATTCCCACCGGGAGGTTTTGTGTGCAGGGAGAGACCCCCGCAGCTCTTTTGGGATGACCTGGGGAGGCAGAGCTTTCCCAAGTTCCCTGGGAATGGGGATATCCCGGGAATGCTGCTCCGGGTGAACCTCCGGGACTCTCTGCTGCTCCCTCCAGCTGGAATTGAACAGCACCGGGAATTTCAGGAGCTGCAGGGAGAGCGTTGCCCACTCCTGGCACGGGAAATCCCAGGAAATTTGGGAAAAAAGGGGATTTTGGTGCTTTATGGCCCAGGTAGAGGGAGAGCCTGGAGGGAGCTTTTCCTGCGGAAAGGTTGTTCCCTCCTGAAATTCCCTGGTTTTCCCAAGGCAGGAATTCAGGGTCTCATTTGTGTCACAAAATCGGACTCCGGGGTCCAACCCCGTGGGAAAAGCAGGATTGAACCCCGGGATTTGGGAGTGGTTCAGCCCAAACCCATCCTGGGGGATGAGGTCCCGGAATTCCCATTCCCGATGGGAAATCCGGCGGTGCCATTGCCCCTCTCCCCTCTGGAATTGTCGCTCTCCCGGTGCTTTCCCCACCCCATTTGCGATTTCACGGCCCCTTGGCTTTGTTTGGGGATGGATGATAAAATTCCCCAGGCTCCAGGAAAAGTTGGGAATGCTGTGGCTGCATCCCGCAGATCCGGCTTGAGCTCCAGGTTCGACCTTGGAAAAGCCTGGATTTACCTCCAGAGAGTGGAAATCTGCTCCAAGAAAAACCCTTTAAACCCCACACATTTTTTTTTTTTTGTGGCTGCATCCCGCAGATCCGGCTTGAGCTCCAGGTTCGACCTTGGAAAAGCCTGGATTTACCTCCAGAGAGTGGGAATCTGCTCCAAGAGAAACCCTTTAAACCCCACATTTTTTTTTTTTCTTTAGGCTTTCCCACTTTCTCCTTGAGTTTCCAGTAGTGGAAAAAGAAATATTAGACATTTCCCTAAAATTCTTATGGAATTCCATGCCGCTGGCTCATCCCTGCCCCTTTTCCTGCTCCTCAGAGGGGCTTTTCCACACACTTGGGAAGATTTTGGGACAGGAATTCTGCTGCTTTAGGGAGGCATCCAGGGATGGATTTTTCCACGGAAAAGGAAGGAGGAGGGAAGGCTGGGAATTCCAGGGAGTGTTTTCCACAGCAGGCTCTGGGGTCAGGGATCATTTTGGGAAGGTGTTTAGGGAAGGAGTTTGGGGAAGGCATTTTGGGAAGGTGTGAGGTGCCTGGAGCAGGTGTTTCAGGAACATTCTCTGGGAGCAGTTTTTGGGAAGATGCTTTGACAGAGTGAGAGGTGCTTTGGGAAGATCCTTTTGGGAGCCACTTCGGTCAAGAATTTTGGGAAGATATTTTGGGAAGGGCCTTCAGGAAGATGCTTTGGGAAGGTTTTTGGGAAGGGGAGTTGGGACAGAGTGAGGCGCTTTGGGAGCCACTTGGGGCAAATATTTTGGGAAGACCCTTTGGGAAGGGACTGAAAAAGTATTCAGGGAAGGTATTTGGGAATGTTTTTCGGGAATGTTTTTCAGGCTTTGGGAAGAGGATGGGGAGATTTGTGTGAGAGATTCAGGAACCTGCTTTGGGAAGAAGTTTTGGGAAGGTATTGTGGGAAGATTTTTTGGGAAGGTATTGTGGGAAGATTTTTTGGGAATGTTTTTGGGGAAGGTGCTTTGGGACGGGGAGATTTGTGTGTGAGAGATTCAGGAAGCTGCTCTGGGAAGAAGCTTTGGGAAGAAGCTTTGGGAAGAAGCTTTGGGAAGATGCTTTGGAGAAGCGACTGGGGCCGAGCCCAGGGACACGCATGGGAAAGAAGGGGACAGGGACAGGAGCGGACAGGAGGGGGACAAGGACAGGGAGGGGACAGGGACGGACAGGAGAGGACAAGGGGGGGACAAGGGGGGGGACAAGGACAGGAAGGGGACAGGGACAGGAAGGGGACAAGGACAGGGAGAGGACAGAGGGGACAGGAGGGGACAGGAGGGGACAGGAGGGGACAAGGACAGGAGGGGACAGGGCCAGCTCCACCTGCCGCCTCCTGCAGTACCCGCGGCCGCCACCGGGTGGGGCCGTCGGGCCGGGAGCGAGCGGCGGGCGCGGGGGGCGCTCCGGGCCGGGCTCGGGGGGCTCCGGGCCGGGATGCGCCAGCCCCGGGAAGGGATCCCCGCTCCAGAGGGGGCGATCCCACCCTGGGGAGACGCGCGGGGGGAAAGGAGGAGTCCCCGCACCGGGATGCGCCGCGGTGGTGGCGGGGATTCCCACGGGATGTGGTTTTGGGGAGGGGGTTTCCATCGCCGGGAATGGGGAGCGGGTGGCGGGGATGGGTGTGCGAGGATGCGGGAATTGGGATGCTCCGGGGGGATCCCGCGGGGAAGGGGGTCCAGCTTGGCTCCCCCCAAAGCTAAAAGGGGTTCGGGGAGACCCCCGGCCCCTCTTCCCTGCGCTCCCCGCGGGAACAGAGCGGACCCGGGCGGGGAGGGGCGAGGAGGGGGCGCAGGGGAAGGGGGCACTCAAAGAACTTTTGTTTTTCCTGTAATCTGAAGCAAATGCGTGGCTGCGAGCGGGCGGCCCCGGTACCTGCTGCCATCCCGGGGGGCTGGAAAAAGGGAATTTTGGGGGGGTTGGAGCGTCCTGGACAATGGGGACAGCCCTGGGAAAAGCGGCGTCACCCAGCCTGGCCTGGGAATCAGCGGGCAGGAAAATCCCCCCCCTCCAATAAGATAAACTAGAGCAAGACCCCAAAATGTGGTGGGGGCAAGGAGGAAATCATTGCGAGGTTAATTATCACTGGTAATTAGGGGAGGGTGTTTAGGATTAGTGCAAAGGGGGAGATAATTGGGGGGCAAATCTTGGTGGGGGCAATTCTGTAATGGGAGAAATCTGGGAAATAAGGGGGAAAGGAGGGGGGTCAGGATCGTCAAAGGGGGAGGGAAATTATTCCCGGGAGGAAATTATGGAAGGGGAACATCCATAGACAGGGAGAAATTAATGGGGAGGGCAAAAAAAATCAATGATTGGGGTGAATTAATGTCAGGTAAATCTGTGCCTGGGTGGGGGCAGAGAGGGAAATCAAGGACAGGGAAAAATAATTAGGGGATGAATTGTGGGGAGGGTCATTGAAAAGGGGGAATTGACTGCGGGAATTCCTGTGGGGAAGAAAATTTTGCCGGGTGAAGTGTTAAGGGTTAAATATTTGGGGGGACAATCCCAGGGGGATCAAATCCAGGGGGGTTTGTGGTAAAGGAGCAAGGATTGAATATCGGGGGGACAATCCCAGGGGGATGAAATCCCGGGGGGGTTGTGGTAAAGGAGCAAGGATTGAGTATCGGGGGGACAATCCCAGGGGGATCAAATCCCGGGGTGGGTTGTGGCACGGGGAAAAGGATCTCGGGCTGAGCACTGAGGAGACAATCCCGGATTAAATACCGGGGAGACCCTCGCCTGGGGGGGGGGGTCAGGGTTCCGGGGGGACGGCTCCCGGCTCCCGCAGCTCCCCTCCAAGGGTTAAGGCGGGCGGGGGTCCGGCGGGGCTGAGCCGCGCTCGTCTCTCCGCAGGCCGGCGGCGGCGAAGGAGCAGCAGCGGGAGGAGGAGGAGGAGGAGAAGAGGAGGAGAAAGAGCAGCAGGAGGAGGAGGAGGAGGAGGATGAGGCCGAGCAGAGCGGCGTGACCGAGCCGCGGGCTCCGCGCCAGGGCTCGCACGCTCCAGCGCCGCGTCCCCCGGGCCGGCCCGGCCCCCCCGAGCCTCTGAAGTGCGGGTGGGGGCGCGGGGGGAGCAGCGGCGCTGGCGGCCGGCCCAGCCCCGGCTTCCCCGCCTCTATATAAACACACATTTGACTTTCTTTTGCCTCAAAGCGAACAGTGCAGAGGGGGCTTTGCCCAGCAGCCCTGCCTCCCTCCTTTTTTTTTTTTTTTTTTTTTTTTTTTTTTTTTTTTTTTTTTTTTTTTTTTTTTTTTTTTTTCCCTCTCTCCTTCCCTCCTCTCTTCCTCCTCCTTACAGAAGTCTGGTGAAAAGTCTGGGGCTCCCAAATAAGCGGCGTCGCGAGAGATCTGTATTTATAGGGAGATATTTATATATATGTAGAGATAGAGCTATAAACCGAACCGGCTCGCTGCGTGTGTGTAGATACATATATACAGCTATTTAATTCTTCCATCTCTCCAGCTCGTGGCTGAATTATTTTAAGATTTTTTAACTTTTTTTTTTTTTAAGTCTCGCTCCTTTCCCCCCCCCTTTTTTTTTTTTTTTTTCTTTTTTTTTTTTTTTTTTTTTTGGCTAATTTTCCCCCTCGCCTTTTTCCCTCCTCATCACCCCCACCCCATTTTTTTTTTTTGGGGAGGGGGCGCGCTGATTTCCCCTTTCCCCTCTCTTCCCGTGCGCGCGTGGTGCTTTTTCTCCCTGTCACTCTGTCAAGTTTCCCCCAAACAAGCCCAAACTTCGCAGCGAGGGGCAGAGCCACCACAGCTTTTTTTTTTTTCTTTCCCCTCTAAATTTTTTTTTTTAAATTTTAATTTTTTTCCTCCTTTCCCCTCGCCGCTTCCCCAACCTGCCAGCTCGGAGGGGGGCGAGCCGGGGCCCCCCTCGCCCCAGGACCCCCCAAGCAGCGCCGAGCGGGCGCTCCGCACTCGCCGTCTCCCCGCGCGTGTGTGTGGGTGCGAGCGTGGTGCCTGTCAAGGGGCCGTTTACTCTCCCCACCCTCCTCCTCCTCCCTTCTTTCCAAATATGCTTTTTGCAAGTTTTGATCTCGTCTCGGCACTGGCTACCCTCGCCGCGTGCTTGGTGTCACTGACTTTGCTGCTGGCCGTGTCCCAACAGCTGTGGCAGCTCCGCTGGGCTGCCACCCGCGACAAAACCTGCAAGCTACCAATCCCCAAAGGCTCCATGGGATTCCCTTTAATCGGAGAGACCTTCCACTGGCTGCTGCAGGTAAGGAGGATTCCCTGCTCCTCGCTGGAGCCTGCCTCGGGACCGGTTGGGTGGTTTTTTTGGTTTTTTTTTTTTTTTTTTTTTTTTTTTTTTTTTTTTTTTTTTTCCCCTCCCTTTGGTATTTTTAAAGGGTTTTTTTTAGGTTTTTGCTTAATTTTTTTTTTTCCCCCTCGAATCGGTATCTTTAAAGGGTCTTTTTAGCGCTTTTTCTCGCTGGATTTTTTTCCTTCCCCTCCGTCTTCTTTCCCTTCCGATTGCATCATGCGGCTTCTCGGCGAGCCGGGGAGGGAGAGCCGGAGCCGGGGCACCGGGGGCACCGGGGGAGCGCGGCCGGGCCGGGCTGGGCTCGCCCCGGGCTGCCCGGGCTCGGCATCGCCGCTGCGCTGCCCACCCCCTTCTCCTCCTCCCCTCCCCAGCCTCAATTCTTGCCAAAAATCCGAAATCCGCAGCGCCGGAGCGGCGGGCGGAGGCGGCCCGGGCTGGGCGCGGGGGCTCCGCCGCTCGTGTCCCCCCCGAGCCGCGGCTCCTTCCCGTCCCTTCCCCGCTCCCGGCGCCGCTCCCGGCCCGGCTCCCGCGGCGGGGGAAGCCCGCCGAGGTAATCGGGAGATTAACCCGGGATTAACCTCGCTAAACGCCCAACAGCGGCGGGCGGAGCGGGATCCCCCCGCGCCGCGGAGCTTCTGCCAAAAAACCGGGGGGAAAGGGGAAAAAAAAAAAAAATCCCACGGGAGGAGAGGCAGGAGGCGGCCGGGGGGTGCCCGGCTCCGGGGGGAGCCGCGGGCAGAGCTCGGGGCGCCCCGGGGATCGCAGCATCCCGGCAGGGAACCCCCGAGGCGAAGCCGCGCCAGGGTTTCCCCCTCTCTCCTCCCAGCAGCAAAAAGGGGGGAAAAAAAATTAATTATAATAATCAAAGGAGGATGCTCCCGCCCTTCACGGCCGCAGCCGGCGGCGGGGCAGGACAGCCCGGTCCCGGCGGGGTCCCCCGGTGTCCCCCGGTGTCCCCCTCCCCCCCCGCGGGGAAGCCCCGCCACGGCGGCCCCGCTCCTCCGGCCGCCCCCGGCGCCGAAGGGGTTAACGGCACGCTCTCAATAGGGCTTTATTTTTTAAAGAAATTTATCAGATTTTTACAGGGGGACCAGAAAAGGGGTTCTCGCTTTTCCACAGGCTCCGTGCAAACAGAGTCCAGGGCTAAAAATACAAAAATTTTTGTATAAATTGGACTCCGTTCGCAACTTGTGCCGCATAAAGGTGCTCTTTGTGCTGCCCTGGAAATGGTGTACAAATAACTCTTTATTAATGCCACAAAAAGGACTTTAATTATATTTACGCAGATCAAGAAACAGGGTCACCTGAACATCTGAACCTCACAACCGCGCTTTTGTTTCAAAATAAACACCCGCGCTCCCAGCCCGGCGGCGCGGCCGCGGAGCTCGCAGCGCCTCTCCCCGCTCGCCAGGAGGGTTTTTTTTTTTTTTGGGGGGACCCCCCCCCCCCCGCTATTGCTGCGGCTCCGCCGACAAAAGCCCCTGGAGCATGTGGGAAAGTTATTAAAGTCCCTGAAATCTGGAGATTTACTTAGGCAAAGCGCTGCCTTTCTCGAGTAAAATCAGCCCGAGCGAGGAGGGAGGGGAGAAAAAAGGGGAAAAAGAATTTTTAAAAAAGAGACAAAAAGCGAGGGGGGGAAAAAGGGGGGAGGGTGTGCTTTGGTGACCCTCCAACC